TAAGAATTAGGATCTCGTTTCAAGTTGCCAGAGTAGCTCTTTACACGCCTGCTGAAACCGAGTGAATACGCGAGAACGATTAAACAGTTAAAACTCAGTCGAGTCTGTTGATTGAGTCCAGTACGTCAGAAGACCGGTTATCCCTAATAAACAGGGCAAAGTTTACGAAACGTGGCACCTCCAACGGGACGGAGAAGGATAAGGACAACTGTTGTGAGTATAATTTTAGTCCTGATTTTCCGCCCGTGCGAAGATTGTGGAGATGGAAGCGACTGAAGCGAATCTAGATATCAAAGTAACACAGCTTAAAATGAGCATTGGTAAAACAAACACCATTGTAGAAACAGGGAAGTCAGAAGCGATCGAAAGACATTTGTCTACCCTGCGGTCCCTCAGTAAAGAACTAAATCGAATGCAGATAGAAGTAGAAGCGACAAAACTAGGTGCGAAAGAAGAAATTGCCGACATCGAGGCGTGGAATAGCGGAATCGACGCACAACTGGAAGAAGCAGATTGCGAAGTGGATAAAATGTGCACATGGATGGACGACCGCAAAAGAGAAGCAGAAGCAATTGTCAAGCAAGAAGAACTTAAGTTTCACAAAGCGAAGATAGAGATGCAGGCAGAAATCCAAGTTGAGCCAAACCCCGAACAAGCCCCGACGACGCCAAGCGACATACAAGCCAAGCTTCCTAAACTGATGATAACGAAATTTTGACGGTACCTATATGGACTGGCCACGATTTTGGGGACAGTTCACTGAAGCAATCGATAAAACGGGCATTCAACCGATCACGAAATTTTCCTACCTTTGAGAACTACTGGATGTCAAAGTGAAAAGAGCAATAGAGGCATTGCCCTTCACGGCTGAGGAATACAATCGGGCAAAGAGTATCCTAAGCGAGAGGTTTGGAAAGGAGTCAGAAATCGTCAAAGCTTAAATGAAAGGGATTTTGGATCTCCCCTCAATATCAAGCCCAAACCCGAGAAAAATTGGTGAATTAAGTGAAAAGCTAACGTACTGCGTGCAAGCCCTACAGACACTAAACAAACTGGAACAAGTCAACGGGGCGGTGTCTATGACGCTAGACAAATTGCCAGCGATCCGCGGAGATCTCGTCTGGACCGACCCCGACTGGGAAAGCTGGGACTTTGCAAAACTTTCAGAAGCAGTTCGATTGTGGACCAGGAAGCAAGAATTTACCACACGCGTCGGGGCGCCAATGGTAAACCCCGCTGTTGGCCTTGCGTTTACTGCGGCGAAGATCACAAAGCCGTCGAATGTACAAGAGTGACACATGTCGCTGATTGCAAACAAATTCTCCTCAACAAACGTTTGTGTTTCAACTGCACCACCGGAAACCATCGCACAGCCTTCTGTCCTAGCAAATCCGTCTGTCAACAATGCCACAAGCGTCACCACACGTCCATTTGTGATGCACCCAGACAAGAAACTAATCAGCCAACTCCTATGACAGGGGTCGCCTTAACTACAAACCAAGTCGGAGAAGGGCTGTTCCCGGTTCTCGTAGTAGAGGTCAATGGAATCAAATGCCGAGCGCTAATCGACTCCGGAGCAGGTAGCTCATACGTGTCAGCAAAATTGATCGACCTTCTTTGCGTGAAGCCCTCTGCAGTCCAAACAAAGTCAATCAATATGCTGATGTCAACCAAGGTTGCGGCATTTGAAGTATACGATTTGAGCCTCCAATCTGTCAACCACCAATTTACACTTCCTGTCAAAGAAACCAAGATAAACAGGTCAGAACTGTTGTCAATTGATAACCCCAATTATCGCGAACTTCCTGACAAGTATCCACACTTGAGAGGTGTTTATGTTAACCACAACAACACGAAAGCAAGACTGCCAGTACACGTAATCCTCGGGAGCGGAGAGTATGCAAGGATAAAAACAGAAACAAAACCACGCATCGGGGAGGACAACGCACCCATTGCCGAACTAACGAAATTTGGTTGGTTTATCATGTCACCTGGCCAAGAATTCGATAAGAGCATCACATTGCTCACACAGATAACCCAGTCTAATTACGAAGAACTTTGCAAACTCGACGTTCTGGGATTGTGTGACTCAGCAGACCAGGACCAGACAGTCGTTTTCGAAGAGTTTAAAGAACGATTAACACGCTCACCAGAAGGCTGGTACGAGACAATCCTGCCGTGGAAGCCCAATCACCCAGACTTACCGTCAAACAAAGAAAACAGTCTTAGAAGACTACAAAAGCTAAACAGAAAGCTTGAGTGTGATTGCCTAACAAAGGATTACGATGACATCATCAAAGAACAGCTAGCAGAAGGAGTAATCGAGAAAGCACCCCCTGTCTCACAACCTAAAGAGTTCTATATTCCACATAAGAGTGTCATCCGAAAGTCAGCCAAAACTACAAAGATGAGAATCGTTTACGATGCGTCATTGAGAGCCACGCCAAATTCACCATCATTAAACGATTGCCTGTACCCAGGACCTGTTCTACAAAACAAGCTGTGGGACATACTTATACAACAGAGGGGCTATCCAGTGATCCTCGCAGGTGACATCAGAAAAGCATTTTTACAGATCAGGATCCATGAAAGCGAACGGGACGCTCTTCGTTTTCATTGGCGAGCTGACGCTTATTCAGAGATTGAAACCTATTGCTTTACAAGAGTACTATTTGGTCTCGCCCCATCGCCGTTCCTCCTAGGTGAGGTCCTCGAATACCACCTAAACAGCTGGGACAAGAAATACCCAGAGGCAGTAGAACGCCTGCACAGAAGCTTCTATGTTGACGATCTCTTGACTAGTGGTCAAAATTTACAACAAACGCAGGAACAAAAAAAGATAGCAGAGGAGATAATGTGAGATGCCACATTTGAGCTGCACAAATGGCATTCAAATGAACCGCAGCTTGAAGACAACCCACCACACTCGTCTGATGAAGAACGCAGTTATGCTAAACGACAGTTGCAAGTTCAGCCAAATGAATCCAAGCTGTTAGGAGTCAAATGGAACAAGGACGAAGACACAATTGCAGTACAGTTTCCGACCACAGACTCGGACACCAGCCACACAGCAACGAAACGAGAAGTCTTAGCGACTTTAGCAAAAGTGTACGACCCCCTTGGCCTCACGTCGCCCACAACTCTTCAAGGGAAGCAAATCTATCATGACGTTTGCGACGTCAAGGCATCATGGGATGCACCTATCCCAGACAGTGTCAAGTCAAGATGGGAGAAGTGGAAAGAATCCCTTCCGGCGGAAGTAAACACTCAAAGACCTTTGGCACCGTATCACGAGCAAGTCAATTCGTTTGAACTACACGTCTTTGGAGATGCGTCTACCATTGGAGTCAGGGCGGCCATACCCTTGGTGGAGCAGCATTTGAAGTCATAGGGACGGATTTTGCAGGCCCAATCCTCTACAAGCTGACCTCTCGACGACAAGGAAAGGCATACTTGGTGATTTTCTCCTGTAGTTTGTCCCGAGCAGTTCACTTAGAGCTGGTGCCAAGCCTAAAAACCGGTGCTTTCCTGCCATGCCTCAAGCGGCTCATCGCCAGGCGAGGAGGTCCCAGAGTGATTTACTCAGACAATTGTAGCAACTTTGTGAAAGCAGCTAAGTGGCTGAAACAAGTGCGAGAAGACAAGAAGCTACAAGGCTACCTGGAATCACACGATATTGAGTGGAAATTCAACCTTAGTCGTGCCCCTTGGTGGGGCGGGCAGTTTGAACGCCTCATCGGAGTAGTCAAGAAAGCTATGCACAAGGTCATTGGGAGAGGTTCTCTGTTCTGGAATGACCTGATCAATGTACTTCTCGAAGAGGAAACCCAAGTGAGCCGACGCCCGCTCAATTACGTTGAAGACGATCCAGATTTACCAATCCTTACACCAGCAACCTTCCTGTTTCAGCGGACCACACACCTTCCTGAAGAGCAGACCTGGTGCATCCCAGACAAGGACCTACCCAGACGAGCACAATTCCTTCAGACCTGCAAGGATCACATATGGACAAGATGGCAACGCGAGTATCTGACCGCCCTGAGAGAGCGCCATGACCTATTTCACAAGACAACAAACCACAAGGTAAAAGTTGGAGATGTAGTGATAGTGCGAACAGACAACAAGAACCGCGGCAAGTGGCCCCTAGTTGTCATTCAACAAATCTTCCCGGGGCATGACGGCTATACGCCTGCAGTGCACTTGAGGACAACCAAAGGAGTGATCGAAAGACCAGTACAGCACCTATACCCTCTAGAGCTACAGTGCAAGACCACGGGACCAGCAGCTCAGCAGTTAAACCCTCACGTGGAAAATTTCAGACCTAAGCGAAACGCAGCATCAGTAGCTGCAGCAAAAATAAAGGACATTGCGGAGAACGAAGAGAGAGATGAATTTTAGACTAGGAATTAGTAATTGAAAATGAACTTTTTCACGTTATTGACTTAATCGAACTATTTCAGTCTCCTAAGTGACATGCATCTTCGCATACCAAGTCGCATGGGGGAGTGTGTCGGAAACTGCGTGATTAGTTGCGTGACGTTAATTTTGTCAACAACATTATTGTGGAGTTTCTAATTTGTACATGATTGACGTAACCTCGAATAACCTTTTTCATAGTGCTTAGCAACGATCAATCACAATGTAGAGAATGTAGTATAAGAATTAGGATCTTGTTTCAAGTTGCCAG